AGTTAAAATCCTAACATTTCTCTTTAGGGTTAGCATTACATATTATCTTCTGAGTACCCCATCTATTTCATTCTGTTTTCTAGGTAAGACTTTTTTTTTTTTTTTTTTTTTACAGTATAGTAGCTTATGTTAGAACACTACAGAAGTGTTTTGTAATACAGTCAGTACATTAGGAAGAATTAATATACATTAAGATAATTCTATTTAGAAATGTGGGCTTTCAGTTTTTACTTGCCTTTAACTAAATACAATTTTTTATAAGAGAATCATCATATTCAACTTAATTATCCTAAGGGAATTAGCTATTTTTGTGACTATTCTGGTTACCTAGTGCCACTCTGACAAGCATATATACCACAAATGGGATAGCCTTAACAAACAGGAGTTTATTCTCTTACACTTTGGAGGCTTTAAGTCCAAATTCAAAGTGCCAGGCTCTAGGGGCTTGGTGAAAGCCCCTCAACCTTGGGGTCCAGCTCTGCCTCCTGCTCCCGGCCCACTGGAGCTAGAGGCATTTCTTCACTCAGACAGCTGCTGGCTGCTGAGGCTGACAAACCCAAGGTTGACAAGTAAAAAGGCACAGTCCCTATGTTACCAAACCACACAGCAGGCCATTAATTTAAGTCCATTGTAAGTCCCAAGGTCAGCAGAGCATGGCAGGCTGCTGAACAACGACACGGCTCCACGCAGGCTCCACACAGGCTCCAAGCATGCCATATGCTAGAGACCGTTCCCAAAGCTGCTACTTATATACGGGAAGCAGACCACATACCCAAAGGTAGCGCTACTCAGCTGCTCACAGTAGAGTCCATCATGGAGTTGATTGCCAGGCTCATTATGGGGAACACTACATCCAGCTGCCCAGCCACTCAACCAGGCCTAGCCAAGTTGACACAAACTGAACTACCACACCGACTAAATATTTAGATATTTATATTTTATAATTACCGCAACAGCTAGCGCAATTACTATGCATAGCTTCGTTTTTTCCAAAGCCTGGACGACAGCTATCCATACGTACTACTTGAAAACTGTGGTCTACAAAATGCATAGCTGGTAGAGTTTTATTAAAGTCATGGTAGAAAATATATGCTTGGCTCCGAAAAAATTCTTCTATCCGATCTCTTGCCTAAGATTTAAAGATAACAGAGAAAAGTATAATCACTATATCACGAACCAAAATTCTCTTCCTCTATCAGTGGCAATGAAATGCACTACAAGTATGCCATGCTTTATAAAACACTCCTGAAAAGTTCTGTGTTAATACTAAAATTAGCCTAGCCTTGACCGTATCAATTATTGACAATACACATGCATAGTGGGTAGGAAAAACTAAACTGAGATTAAAAAAAAAAAAAGTGTCTTAAATTACTTACAGTATGCCTATTTCATAGGTAGATAACTGAAAATTCAGTATTTTAAAATGCTTAAGATTGTCAAGAAAAGAGGCAAGCAAAATAGAAACCAGCCTTTTCTCTAATCAGCGTTTCAAACTAATTCTGTAAATTGTTTTATTTTTCATCATAGACTTTAATAACATTAACTGAGTGCTACCCATAAGCCCTGTACAGTATTAATGGTATGGGGTCAGGAACTAGACCAGGGGAGTAAAGGAATTTTTCAGACTATGTTCTTAGCCTCTGAAAATGGCAGAGGAGAGAACAATTATTATGACCAGTGTAGATTTAGGAAGAACTAACGTTAGAAGAAGGAGCTCTGGTGGCATAGTGCCTAAGGCACTTGATTACTAACCAGAAGGCTGGTGGTTCAAACCCACCAGCCGCTCCTCAGAAGGAAGATGGGACAATCTACTGCCGTGGTGATACTGCCTCGGAAACCCAAGGTGGGGGGTCGCTATGAGTCGGGTCTCACTTGATGGCAAATAAGAACAATTTTAGAAGGACCATTGTTTTAATCTAGGATGTCATGACTTTAAAGTTGCTCTTCAAGTTGTTGTTCAATAGCCATTTGGGGAACAAAGACTAAGGATTCATCTTTCTGTCATAAATACAATACATAATATTAACCTGGGAAAATTACTGTAAACCCCTAGGTTACAAATGCCCAACTTCAGATGACTTGTACTTGTACTTGTACTTTAATGTTATGTAAATTTTCCCTACCTTTGAAATGGTTGAAAACTCCTACTCAAAACAAATTCTTCATCACAATCACCTTCTCTTGTTGCACGTGCAGCTGTTAATTCACTGAGAAGGTTTTGAGCCTTTTGTTGCACTAGATCAAAACCAAACCCAACCTATTGTTGATTTCAATTCATAGCGACCCCTACAGGTTTCCAAGGCTATAAATCTTCTTGGAAGCAGACAGCACCTCATCTTTCTCCCCTGCAGCAGCTGATGGATTCAAACTGACCTTTTGGTTAGCAGCCCAATGACTTAACCACAGCACCACCAGAGCTCCTTTGTTGCACTAAAACCAAAAAACCAAACTCACTGTTATTGAGTGGATTCCAACTCATGGTGAAACCCACTGGGTTTCTAAAGCAGTAAATCTTTAGGGAAGTAGATTGTCCCATCTTCCTTATATGAGAGGCTGGTAGGCTCAAACCACTAACCTGGTTGGCAGCCAAATGCCTTAGGCATTGCACCACCAGAGCTCCTTTGTTGCCCTAAAGTAAGGCTAAATAAGAACCATGTGCACCTGTTCGGACTTAACCTACAAATATGACTTAAAGGACTGGATCTCATTCATAACCTGGGGACTATCTAAGTATAATATCCCAGATGTATTGTTCCAAAATAACACATTTTGAAATAGCCAAAAGCCTCACAAACTCAATTTAAAAAGCTGAAACTGAAAACCAACAATGCTAAGGTTTTTATTTTATTTTA